AAATTTGATATTAAAAACTATAGAAATATAAAACCCATTTTTACTTATACAATTTTTATTAAATTTGATTGATATTATTTGTTAAACTAGATTAAAATATACTGATACATTTTTAATAATATTTAGTTAATCTTATATCTTACTTATTTTTTAGATTTTAGTTGATTTGTCCTCTTTTCTATCTCACATTTGAATGAATGCAATTGGAACAAGTTGTTCAAGTATCGTTTGTAGTTTTATAAATTTGTTCTATAAATTAGTAACTATACAGTATTATTGGCAGATTTGAATAAACGAGTCACGGCAACGTTTCGAACCGTAAAGACAATTAGCTTGTTGTCAAAGGCTAAATAAAGAGAGTAGGTATATTTAAATTATTAAAATGCAAGTACATTGTACATTTTGCATAGAACGCCTGTATTGCGCATAATAGACTAATAGCATCTATGTAAAAAAGGGAATTAAATTGATCACTGAGGAAAAACTGAAGTTTGAAAGGCCATCAAATAAAACCCAATAATGAAGGTGTTGGTACATAAAGGTTAATCGATAAGGAAACATTGAAAATCATATTTTAGTGGGCGTGAGGCTATATTATATTCAGTACCGATAATTACCTGGAAAATCAAATTGAAGGATTTCAGATTGAAAGTTTAGGTTAGTAGGTTACTGGTGTGATGTTTTCGTGACGCAATAAAACAAATTTATTATAATATCATTTAAATGTGTGTATTAAGTAAATATTTTTTACTAATCACTCGATTGATGAGTTGGTAATGAACAATAATACATTTTATTTTGACTTCATATTAAAGTCTTACTTTTTGTTTCCTCGTTACATATTATTTTTTTTTTATTAGTTCTTATTATCTGTAATAACTAAAAGCCTACAGAATGCACGATTTTACGTTGAGTTTGGGCTAGGGGGGACTCTATAACAACTTACTCGATGCAGCTTAATAAATTATATTACTTACACTTTACGATGATTGTAGTTTTAAATTTGATATTGGTACTGTGATTAATTTTTAAATCTTTTTACTTTTATACTGTATATTCAAGATTTTCAAGTGAGAAATATAACTCACTGTGGAAAATGTATGCAGTTTTCCTACTAAACAATACGATATATTATGAATTTATACCTTGGCAAACATAACAATACGTTTCAATAAACTATAATCATTCATACAGAATTTTAGTATATTTTGTGTATTGTAATAAATTATTAATTATGAATTCTGTTAATATCCAATAATGCTTGATGATGTAATTAAAGTGTCGAACTTATGCATGGAAAAAAAAGAAACACTAGGTACATATTTTGCTGACGTGTAAATTTGAATAACATTTTAAGTTTAATCTATTTATAACTTTCATCATGATGGATACTTATGCACAATTTGCAATCATTGACTTTCATAATTGAAGTCTATTTTTAATATTACACTCGAGCTTGAAGCGTCAAAAATATATGAACAACCCCTATTAAATTATTCAGTTATTGCATAATATAATTGTTTTTTCCCTTATTAAAAAAGAAAGACTCGATGACGTGACCATTGGCTTGTTTTACATAATATGGTACTTAAATAATATTATATTATGTATTCACATCCAACAATAATATCGCTAAGTTATCTCTTAAAATCATTTTCGACTATTGAAAAGAATGCGCAAAAAGAGAAACATGTTATTTTGTTATTTTTTCATCCCTTTTATCTGAATAATTGTAGGTGAAACGTAGGTGCTGTTAAAAGTACCTACTCTACTTCATTGAATTAAGAACACAACATTTTATGGTATTCATAATGTGATATTTTCAGGACAACTAATTCAATATAAGCTTATTCTTATTTTATTTTTATCAATATATTTGGTTGATATAGGCAAGACAAAATGTGTAAAATAAAAAAAATCATATTAATAATAATTATACATATTACATAATTGTACTTGCTTTTTTGTTTTTATCTTCTATTTGTCCACTTAATTACCATTATTATTTTATTGATAGTATGTATTTACTAATTATTTTAAGTATCATATTGGTGACCAAAATCACGTAGGATTGCTAAAGCTACGCTGTGCCCGGCTTCGTTAGCTTCCGGATGGGTGGCCACCCTGGTTTTTAGTGACAACTCATGGCACACATAGGGATGGGACATTTTCGGAAGCGTAATTTGCCAGGGATTCCCAGGAAGGACTTCCCGGAAATTCTGTGAAACACGTTTGAATGCCTGGGAATCATGAAGAAATTTCTGGAACGAATTATTGTTTACGCATCACAATAAGGGTATATAATATTATATTTCATTCAAATATTCAAGATTTTTGATATATTTAAAATGTATAAAGCATTATACAGCGTTTATAAAGCTTTAAATATAATAAAAAAAAAACATTAATTTTCAATTTGAATATAAATATGTAGGTATACTGTGCAGGAAGAATCGTCAAACGATGTGTCTACTACAAATATTACAAATTACCCAATGAGGATTTTCTACAATAAAAAATGGTTTTCCTGGTGAAATAATTGATCTGGTTAAAAGTCTGTCCAACTCTTTCTATAAAAATGTAGAACTGTGGAAGAATAATCAAGAGTGACACTAATAAATCTGCTTCCAACCCGGAAATTGGCACTGTCAAATGATCCAATACTAATTTATAAAAACGATTTTTTTTTGTGTTATGTATAATTATTTCATAACTACCTGTACCGGTGGAATCAATAGATGATTCGATTTATAAATCAAAATGTTTTACTAACTACCTAAAAAAAAATTATGGCTCTTTAAATTTTAATTTTTGAAAAATTTTCGAGTTCCAGTGATTTATGGGAAATTCCAGAAGGTCCAACCCTAGGCACACATACGTAATACCATGTATAACAACTCTACAAACTCAAAAACCCACTAAAAAATATACAAAAATAACCCCCTACCGTACCACCCAACCCAATATGGCCTATTGTGCCACTAATAAAAAAAAAATACATAAATGTTAGTGCTTTTATATTTCAACTGCATCAGTTTGTGCGAATATTCAAATAGTAACGACTTCGATTTTAAAATAGAGCTATATTGTAGTTTCTGAATAAATATTAATAGGCAAGTAGTATAAAATATACATAGGTACAATGTTATTTTTGATCCCTGCACTTTTTTTTATCAAATAGAGTGTAACATGGAACATATTCGCTTTTTTAGCAATAAGCTTTATGGTTACAACTTATTATAAGTGTAGGTATACATTTTTGAAATAGCAATAGTTCAAACGTTAGAATTTGGCTTATGCACATACATTTGGTAATAAATGAGTCGACGTGATTTATAACTCACAATCAATTCGTATAAGAAAATCCGTTGATCATAGTGTTAATATTATATCGCATGAAATATTTCCAGTGATATTTGACAAACATTTTTTAGTAATTTAGGTTCAATGTACCTAACTAGAGAAGATGATATTCAAACACGGTTGAACACAATAAATCACGCGAAAAAATAGATTTTCGGCCATTAAATTGGTATGCTCAGCACTTTGGGCGTTATTGTTAAAAAAGAATAAAAGATCTTTATCGCTTCTTTGTTTGTCGTCAAGCTCTTTTCTCGACACTGCTGCGATTTTGACTTTACACAAAAGCGAACACTATCTCGAACCTGAAATCGTTAAAAAAATATGATACACGATATTTCATCGTCTCTAAACCACATACCTAGTACGATCGTTTGGCTATCATCGCCTCGGCCAATGACGTGTTTCGTAGCAGTTGTCGTCGGTTAACTACGAGCGCAACAAACAAACTTTTAAGCATTAAAATTTCACTCAATCGATGCCAGCTGCTGCTGAAGCTACCGGAGAATTCGGTGAAGTGATGTTGACATCTAGGCGTCCACGACAGCAGGTTTAATTTAAAATGACGTCGCTGGTAAATAGTCGGGTGCGACAACATTTTGGCGGTCCGACTCGTCCACCGTCTACATAATAATGCTAAGTATTAAAAATGTGCAGTGTCAGCGTAGTCGTCACCCACTGACCTGTGGAAGGCGAGTTTGAGAATTGAATAATCGACCTATCCGGCGGACGCCAGGCGGGCGTGTTCCACTCTCATTATTCAACCCTCCACATCCTGTCACGGCGAGGCAATAGCCCTCGGCGTATTCCGCCGGATTATGCCCACGCCGTAGTAAGCAAAACTGATGACATAATATTAAGCAAACGTTTTTTTTTCTTCTATTATTATTTATTTATTTCATTTATTTATTTCTCGACGCAATGTTATCGTCTTAAAACAGAGTCACAAACCCTGTTGTTTTTTGTACACCGCAAAATCACCGACACAACCAAAAACAAAAGGACGAGATATTCTGTCGAATGAATATGAAAAGTTTGTCGATTATTCGCGAGAATGAGGAGTACAAATTATTATTACTTTGCTAACGACTTTTACAAACGGTATCAATTAATCCACGAGATTCTCAAACTTTATTCTAGAACGTTAAGTTCCATAATTTTACTGCTGAAATTTCGTTTATTCGTAGTGGGCACCACTCGTTTTATTGCGGTTAAATGTTATAAATTAAATTATACGGGTTTATCCCGGAATCGGATTGGACCAATTTAATTATGTCATTAAAAAATAAAACGATAAAATTAATTTCAAAGATATCAAATATAACGATGTTTCCGCTTAAATCTTTGGAATAGCATTCATAGTTAATAGTTTAGTGTGCATTACGAAATCTTATATTATTATTTATTATATACCTATTAAATACTAGAAAGCAACAATTTTGATGGTGCTAAAAACATGTTCAAAAGGTACTAATTGAAAAAAAAAACAACTATAGCAAGGGATTTATTACAGATCATTAGTCACTAAAAATACAATTGATATGGGTCGGCGAACTCGTAAAATGAGTAACTCAAAAACAAAATAACGACACCAACATTTTGTTTTGAACTTAATTTATTTTTATAATATTTATTTAACAATTAAAAGGACATTCAAGTAGTCATTGTATATAATATTATTGTTAGAAAATGAATATTTACAGTGGACTTATTATGTCTTAAGCACGTATGTTACGCATCCGACTTATAAGTATCATAATATTATAATAATAGTATTTCAATTTGGCAATAAAATTTACAAAAAAAAAAAATAATAATTATAATACCAATATTGATGAACATTATTTACATAATATCAGAAACAGCTGCACGTGTTGATACTTTTATCGTAATGTTAGGAGTAATAGTTTTTTTTTACAAGAAATACGTTATAAACATTTTTGCCCTTTGAAAAAAAAAAAAACATAAAACTTATGAAATTCCGTATATACAACATTTTGTCATTGAGCCCTTTATATTTTAAAACATAAACAACACTATTATTTTCCAAACGCTCTTTCGTAATATTAGTCCTTTATAACATTATATAATAGTAATGACGTATTCATAGTAATTATATTATTGTATTACATTGAATATCCTATGATGTCGTTTTCAAACAAAATAAAGTATAATCAGAGTATACTCTAATATTAAGATGTTTTCAAAATTCCATTATGTACAATCAGCATTAAAATATATTATGTCACAACAATTTAAAATACTAATAATTAATATAATATTATAGTCATTAGTAATAATTTTATTTAATTACAATTCTATTTACGTCCAATAAATCAAATAAGTTGGTACAGAAAAAACAAAATTATATTAACATGTTAGCCGATAGGTAAACATTGAGATGTATTAATATAGATATTTTTTATTAATTTACACTTTAAAAATTTAACTTCATATAAATATAAAGATAACTAACGTTACTAATATCAACTAGCAAGTGTAAAAAACAAAAAATAAAAATAAAAACAAGTAGTATGAGGTATTAATTTCCCAAAAATGTTAATTAATATAAACTTATACATTAGTGTAACAACGAAAAAGAGTCATATATAAATGATATATACAATATTATATTAAGGTTAGCGTTAGGTAGTAATAAAGTTATAATTAATTTCGAATAAAATAAAATTATATATTTTTTTTTCTTTTTGGAAATAAGTATGTGTAACCCTGTACAATATAACTTAAGTGCGATAGTTAAAACCAAATCAAAAGGTTATGTAACATTATAATTTTTAATACAATTTAAATTTTATAACACTTTTTAGATATAATAATAAATTGTATCTGTAATATAATATAGGTAGATATAAACAAATATAATGGTAACGATACTAATAATATGAAGTGTGGGCTTATGCGATTAATTAGTTAGTTAATAATAATTGGCTAAATTCTAAATATTTATTCCAAAGTTCTTATTTTACTTAATTCTGGTAATTGAAATAAAACACAATCAAACAAAAACATTTGTATGAATGTTTAACAATAATCATAATAATTATACTTTTTACAAAGATAAAATACATACATTTAATAATTTTTATTCCCTAAACATAATTGTTTCTCCTTATCTAACGGATATTACCATCAGTGGTAATGCAACAAACCAAAGCATCACTTCGATTCCCGAAGCAGTGGACTTTCTGCGTGATATGGCAGCCATTGTGTCTCCTAAAAGAACAAACAATTAAGAATATTATTTAAATGTTACATCAATTTTATTTATTTTAATTTTATAATATTATTACATAATGTCAACTTTGAGCATAGCAATCTGATGATGGTTTTAATATTTTGAAGAAAAAAATATTAATATCTAAATTGTTTTCAATATCTATTTCAATATAAAAAAAATCAAATTGTTTGCAACATAACCTGCGTATATTATTATTATCATTATTGATTTATTGATTATATAAAATATTCGGTATTAGTCTACATTTTACAAGACGATTACGATTTTACAATTATCATAAGATGAGAACAAATTTGAAGTTGTTTTGTGTATTATGATTAATAAGTAAGCTAAATATAATAATTATTTTTTAACTTGTTTGGTCATCTATGCTTTTTATTTATACATATAATTAAAAACGATTATTCCAAATTGATTTTTTAAAATTATTTATAACAATATAAATCCAGTCTCTATAATATTCCACTTGATCTCTGATGTTTCTTTCATCTAGCAGTTTTATAGGGATTAGTTAAAGGCTAATAATAACTGCATGAATAGGCTTACTGTGTTAAACACATTTCAATGTTTTAGTAATTACCTACTTTAAAAGAAGAACTATAATGTGCCTTTAATATTAAATTATTAATATGAAAAGATTAACACAAAATAAATTCATTTCATATTTTAATTATTATAATTTTTTAGTTTTTTACAATAAAAAAAAATTATGATGATACACTGCACATTTTTTTATTTTTTGCTTTTCTTGCTTACTTATAATATTATAATAATTCAAATAAATGTTTGAATCCTTAAAACATCATCATTCATCAAGTTAAGTTGTAGAGTACCTATTTTAAGTATTTAAGATGATCTGATGATCTATGTTTATTTCAAATGAATGTATCTGTATTATTTACGTGCAAGTATTATTATCTACTTCGTATTAGTATTATTATCTCACCACTTTAATATTATTATAATATTGAATGAACTAAATAGTAATCCACATTCTCATGTGTTTTCTCCGACTTATAAGCATATAAAATACAAAATGTATGTTCAGTCCGTCCAATTTTGTGCTGTAACCTTTAATAATATAACGAATAATATTGACCTTTTACCCAAAGGTAAAAAAAATATCCTAGTTTTATTGTAAGCTTTTTATGATATTTTAATTTTGAAGTGAGGTATGAGTATGTAGAGTTTTAAAATATTATATAAATTCTAATAACCCGATAAATAGTTCAAATATCGTAATATTCGTAAATTCTAAGACAAAACACAGATAATATTATTACCTTCGTGTCTGATAAATATCACGATATTCTAGGGAAATTCATTGATGGAAACGCAGTATGGGGTGCAGTGGAATAATATGTAGGTATGTTGAACTTATAACTCATATGAATATATTTTTTTTTTGTGCACACAGAATATTCTCAACAATCACTTCAAGGATAAAAAAGTATATCAGGAAATTACGTGTAATAGTAATATCGAGCGTCGACAAATAATAAAAGCACACCATCGGAAGACTATGCGTCTTCACCACATTGACTGTCCGTTGTCATAAGGTACAAAAAAAATCTAACCTAACGTATTACTATAATAACTGTATTGAGGTCGTATCTTTGTATGAATTATACACATAGAGTTTTGATATAATTCTCCATTTGACATAGTATTACATTTACCACTTTACCATTTGTCTACAATTGTTTTCATTTGTTCTACGGTGGAACCTCGGTATCTCCTAGTTTCAAGGGACAAAAACAAATGGGACCTAACACCTAACCATACTTCAAGTTATTGAGCTAGTTAAAAAATATATGAAATAATGACTGGAATTGAAAAAAAAAAATGATGCACAGAAACTTCGAGATTCCGGAGTTAGGGACACCGAGGTTTCACTGTATTTTTTAACATGGATTCGAAATTAATACATATTATAAAGCTTTCGCAGATATGTCTAATACAAGATAATAATTATAATATTATTATATCAGTAATATTATTTGAAATATTTTTTTTTATCAGTACCTAGGTAATTATTTTGTTTTAACAACCATTTTGCCTCGGGGACAAGGGCACTTTGGAGGCCACAAATATTTTGTAAGGTTTTTTTTCTGATATGAGTTTGCTACAGTCATAAATTTATTTCTATTAACGTTGAGTGGGTTTCATTGCGTATTCGTATGCGAAGCGTGAGACGAATTTGGAATGTAAATCAGTGTATATTGTTATAGTATAATATTATGATCAGTTTGTTTTACTCGCGTTCGGTGAATTTATTATTATTAACTGCTGTTGTGAATGCACATCAATTAAAAAAAAAACGTTTTTTGCAGCGTTCCGTCGCAGTTGTCTGATGCGGAAATACGACGTGCACATTTCGACCAGACCATCCGTCATCGGCAATAATATTTCACCGTTTGTTTATTATAAGACACGATCGCTCCACCAATTCGGAATGTTCGGATGACGTTTCGTGTACGCATCGCTGGCAAAAGGGTTTCCGTGGATCACGCAGCCATAATAATAATAATAATAATAATATAATGTATTAGGTACACTGCAGCTATACGACGATCACTAGATGTGTACACATCAGACGACCATGACGACGACGGTTTCCACGACGTCCGGACCAATTGTGTCCGTCCGCCTGCTACACAGTCCGGCCGGAAGTGCATGCCTAATATAATAACATCGTATCCATCCCCGAGACAAACGTAAAATAATGTCCAAGCGACGAAGTGCTGACCTGGGCACGGGGCCGACTTGCCGTCGATCGCATAGTAGCAGTGCTACTCCAGACAACAACGACTTACAAACCGTTGTCGTGTCACAGTTATGGTAATAATATCGTTATTATTTCACCCACTTGCCACCGCTACCCCGCCGAGGGGTGTTATTCAGGGGGGCGCATCGGTTCGACCCGATCACGAACACCTCTAAACGGTCGAATTTATTACTGCCTATATATTTTAGTCTACCGATCTCATTTTACTGTCACAAAATACTATATTAATTTCACCAGAACTTAACTGGAACAACAACAGTCGTATATTGTACTTGTAATATTATGCTATATTTTATTATTATTTGATGAATATAACGATAATTATTTTTTTTTTTACCTCATTAGTAATCTTTTAAGTAATAGCTAGTAAAGTGGTATGTAATAATACAATTCAATACAATCAAATACAAGTCTGCGTTATGGTTTGATTTTCATTCTACTGTTTCATTTATAAGTCCAAATTGAATTTCTTTATTGGCGGAGAGTTTTATAGACTGTGTAGTGTGTACGTCAGAATGTGTACCTCAAATAATTATTTTATTCATTCAAATTATTCGTGGAATTTTATTTCTGTAAATTATATTTTATTTTACTTCAACAAAATATGTATTACATTATATATGCATACATTTTCAAAGAAAACCAACGAGTTCGCTTCTAATTTTAGAGTATGTTTTTGTAATAATATTAAACAAGCAATCAATCATATTTTTCTGAATTTATACAATAAAATCTGGCTATAATTTCAATCGTATGATTATAACAATTTAGAATAATTATTGGTTGTGAATAAAATACATAATAATATGACAGAATTGTACGTTTAAGTCATTCAATAAGATACGAAATAGATAATAAAAAAAATAAAAATATATTATTACTAATATGGCCAAAAAAGTTCTTTTCGTGTTAATAATTTATTTTCACGAGATAAATACTAAAAAATAAACAAAAGAAACAGTCAATATACCAAGTTGCCAATAAAAGTAATATTCCGTGCAATTGTTATGCATCAATAATGTTAATAATATAATTAATCATCTTCAGATGACAACTATTAAAACTACCAACAAATTAACCCTATGAAAAACGAAATAATTATATATAGTTGCAATAATTTTAATAAAAAGATAAGTTAATTTTTTTACTTATGTCTAAGTAAATCGAAAAATCTAAAAAATCAAGAATACATAATGATACAATAAATATTTACGTTATTTTAGATGTGCCTTAGAGTTATACTTATGACTTAGTTATCATATTATTTGATAATACTACATTATTATATAAGTCAAATGATTTCATATTGCATTTTGATATTTCTTTTTGACTTACCTTCAGATACAAAAACGTAAACATAAGCTTGTTCGGCATTTGCAGTTTCACATGTGTAATTGCCACTGTCAGTGTCAATGACGTCATGGATGGTCAACCTACTGGTACTACGGCCTCCATTTTCTGTATTAACTACGATACCACCTCTGATATTGTCGTAATTGATCATTTTTTCATTATGATACCAAAACACATACTGTGGAGGTTGTGGACTCTAAAAAAAAAATAAATAACGATTCATAGAAAATAATTATAAGAAAAACTATGATAAACAAAATAAAATCAATGTGGCAGTTATTGGATTCATAATATTGTATTATGTAAGAAACAAAAAAGGGAATCCAGGAAAAATGTAATCTTGGAAATCTGGTACTTGTATACTCATATTTAAATTTGTTAAAGTACAATATATCTAAAATGTAAAGTATAAAAAAAATAATAATCGAAAATATTATGATAGTTGAGTTTTACAACAATTATTATTAGTATTATTAGTATTATTATTATTATTATTATTATGAAAGCTTATGTTGAACGGCTTAGTGGGAAGCAGTTAAACAAAATATACTTGTGCAGACTGATATTCTGGTAAAATAATTTGTCACTCATCCCCATCTTTATAATAACTATAAAATCCATGACCACAATTGGATGCAGAAATCAAAGTTTTTTTTTTTGTTATTGGAAAAAAAAATGATTCTTATACATTATTTCGAATATAATAAAAATTGAAAAAAAAAGTAAATAGTAATTACATCGACCATTTATTTAAAGCTAAAAAGTTAAAATAAAAATAAATAAATATTTAAATTAATTTTAAATATAAATAATATATATTTATTGAATACCAGAATACCTTTAAATTACATTAAGGCAATCTAAATTGTGAATTTGATTTCGCAAATAATTGCTCTTTTATTTATTTTATTAAAAAATAATCATTTTTTATAAATACTGTTTTTAGTAGGGAGTATTATATATTTTTTCTTAAAATTTCAATATTATTGAATAATTTATCGAGAGGTGCCAAATTGTACATATATTTTATTAGTATGAAATTATTGCTGATGTATATGTTAAAAATAACGATACTTACTTTTTCAATGATACAGAGAAGATTTATTATGCTACCCATGTCTACGTGAAGTTCACTTGGACCATCAATGTGGACTTCAGGAACGACGATGTGAACGTTGATGAACGAGGACATTATGCCTGTTCCAGTGGATATCTGTTAAACAAAATCAAAAACATAAACATTAAAACAAATTGTACACTATGAATAAATAATTTCGATTAGATACAAATGTAAAATGATATATTTCGAATGAAATTACTTAATCTAATAATATTATAGTTGTTAATTTTATAAAATTTGTCTTACTCCACCTAGTATGTATAACTCGTAATTAGTATATTTTGTCTCACTTTCTTCGTAATAATATTATTATAATTCAACATAATACAAAAAATATCATACAGTTAGAAAATGATTTAGCTCTTAAAACATTTAAGAATAAAATATTATCGTAATTATTGTAAAACTAATTCATTGATTAGCCAAGTTACCGACATGTAACACATCTAAATTCAATATTATGTATTCTGAAAAATTAACGATGGATATTGTACATAGTATGTATTTTGCTGGATTAGAATACACTCAATATTATTCAGTACAAAACACTATTATTCTGAATACATCAAATTACTATATAAAAACAAGAAGTAATTAAAAAATGCACTTAACAGCATTCGTTTTATACACATTTGATAGTCTTTTTTAGATCAATACATCTCATTATTTTTTCGTGCACCGAATTAAAAAGTGTTATAAAATTATTAATTCAATTTAGAAACGGCGAAGAAAATGTATGTAAGTTCTTAATAATAATTATTTTTTATGACAGAAATGTTGTTATTATTATAACAATACATTTTTATTGGCATTTCCTGAAGATTATAAATTATCGCTAAGATTTAGAAGTATTCTGAATTTTGTAAGAAAAATAGCAAATGATTACACATCATTGTTATAATTCGTTGTAAACTTAAAGAATAGTGAGTCATTTTGCTTTCCTCTAATATGATATTGATATTTATTAAATTTTAATGAACTGTAAACAAATTTATATTGTATTTTGATTCTGTATTATATTTTATCACTATGATTACAAAATAAATTGTTATTCTCATGTTTATTATAAAACATTCCGTCGGCAAATTTTTCAATTTCACTTATAAATAAAAATAATAAAAATACATATTATTGCTAACCGATATTATTTATTTATAGATAAGATCATATACTTTTTTAGTCTGAATATTTTTTGTATTGTTATTGAATTGTAAAATAATGTAAATGGCCAGTGTTTTCACAATTTTACCTATCAAATATTATTCTTTTGAAATATTATATGCATTAGTTAATTGTACAACTACTTTGAACATTTTTTGTTTTTTACTCAAAGTATTACGTGTATATCGCGTATATAGTTTTTGTTTGAAACAAGTAAATATGATTTATAGTACAATATATACTACTGGATATTTAATCCTGCTGCACGCGAAAATTTGTAGGGTTATGTGTCAAAATTCACCATTCACTGGATAATTAGAAAAAAAAATCATATTTATGACTTTTTTGATAGAAAACATTCAGAAACCTACCGAAAATAGCTACACAATCTTGGGCAGATAGTTTTACTTTTCGTTGAATGTTCATTAAATTCATAATTATTATCATTTGTTAGTTTGATAAAAAATATTCGAGTCCAATAGTATCAAGTAATTATGTACATGATGTGCGTGTATGGGAAGATGATACTAATTACGCTTGCAATAAAGTAAGATTGGACGACATAATAGTTAACAATGTATTAAACATTTAAGAATGTACGTAGGGGTTTTTCAACTTACACGAGCAAAGGAATTCTCATTAAAACTAATTGTAAAATAAAAATGAATATATAGGTATCGCATCAAGCATATTTTTTATACAGGCTAAAATATTTCGCTTTCCATAGATCACTTTATTAGTAACATATTTAGGTGCACCATAGTGTTTAGCGTACCCTATTTTAGCTAAATAATCGCCCCTTGTCTTTTTATCTACTAAAAATAAATTTTGTCCAAAAGTCATGATAATGTACGTTTGGAACAGATGTTGTGTGTTTTATTTTGACATAACGAACATACTGAGTCGAGGAGCTTACATTAAAAAATAATGAAGTGTACTTTACATTGTTAAATATCTTCAGAACAATAATAATTGTAAAAAAATATTTAGAATTTGTTCTCTTATATTATGTTTTGTATAATATTTTGAAAGTTGTATATACAACTCCACAAAATCTGACACTTCGATAGTAATAATTTTAGGAAGTGCAATAAATAAGTTTGTAATATAATTTTCTATTAACCCGATTATAACTATTATAACTGTAAACATCTTATGTTACTACTTAGGTGACTAACATCATGTGGAGTTTTAATATTCTAGATATAGATTTTTTTTTATTTTGGAAGTAAAATCACATTTACTTCCACTATCATACCATTATCAAAAGAGATATTAATAATAATATACTATAGTGTGGTCCTTGTTATTAGCTGGGCTAATTCACAAAATTAACAGACACGAAAAGTCGATTCCAGTATTAATTTACCTCAGGTGACAATTTTTCTTTTAGATATAATGAAAAACCAATTTATAAACAATCTTCATTTTTACAGAACAAAGTACAAATTTGAACAAAATCGTTTACTTGGCATGCTCAATGGTATTGACAGTGATTTTTCGGATGAATCAGGAATAGACGATGAAAATATAAGCAGAAGAAGCAGATAATTTATCAGAACATTATGAAAAAAAAAAACGGATACGAAAACTGGAAAATCGGACAGTGAAAGTGGTAAATGTAAAATACATTTTACATGTGTGAAATGTAAGATAAAAAAATTGCATTTACACTTCAGCTAAAGGTTGGTATTATAACTCATAATATTATTATCACTGTTACCTGTTGAATAATTACTAACATTTATATTGACTATCAACACTTTTCAAAATCAAAATCTCAATAAACTGTTAACAAATGGACTTCATGGAAATATCATCATTTCCTTGATTTAGTTAGAGTAAAAACACCAGAAAAATAAAACATATTTGATTTTTGGGATATTACTGGATTTTGTATCAATGATTGTATGCCTGAATATAAATTCATAGATCTTTATGTGTATCATGTCCCTTACTTGTTTATGATTTACGTTAATTGAAGTTGCAAGCGTATTAATAACACCTTTTATATTGTAAAATATTATGTGATTCAAAAGCAGAATTTGTTTTAACTTTTATTGCTAAACCCCTATTGTTATGAGTTTCTTTGTGGATAAATTAACAAAAAAAAAAAAAAAATAGTAATAATAATAATAATAGGTAATATAATAATATAATATTGAATAGTTAATGTAGGTAATAGGTAATACGTCTACAGTGAGTAGATAAGACAATACCACCCAAACTATACCTATAGTGGTACTTTCTTCTCTTATAGCTCAAAATAAAAATAGTATAATAAGATAGGTACTAGTATAGAAAAATTATATATTATAATGTTAATTTTATACATACTGTACAATAAATAATTACATACACAGAGACTTCAGACCACAATAATTATAGATATGTTAAAACTTCTATGATTTCAGTAATTTTAGCAATATAAGTTCATGGTGACATTGATATATTTATATAACTTAACACGAAAATACATAACATATCATTCCGTGAGGTTGTTGTTATAGATGAAGATTTTGTTAAAAAAATAGATAACGGAATGTTGGACTTTAACCAGAATTGTCATCGGTTTATATTCGACAGGTAGAATAACTTGAACTAGTAGGTATAGTGATTGATGTACAACAGTAGCTAATATGCTCCTTTGGGATTATAGAAGTTGAGCCAAATTCGTCTATAGATTTTTGGTTCTGGGTTTTATTTTTCATTTCCACAAACTACTTTCTTGGCTCTAACAATATTGACACAAATGACAGGATTTATAGGAAATTGGTAAACAATTTCCACATTTTAGACTTCAATAAGACGTGTTCATTGACTATATTTACGATTGAACAATTTTCAAACAAATAACTCAATGTTGAAATAATAACGTCAAAACATTTATTATTTAATTTTCAGCCGATAAACAATAACATATTGTTTTTCACATTGATATTATAAGACCTTCAACTTGATGACAAAAATAATATATTCCTAGGTTAGTTATTTGTTCAATGAAGAGTCGAATCATCAAAACTTACATATTCTATCCTATACAAACTCTTGAAACAAATTATTGTTAACAAAATAATACCTTAAAATTTTTTGAAATCGATTAAATTGATTAAATTGTTTTTTTTTTTTTGCTAAGCAAAAAAAATTGTAGTAGTTAGAACACCAATTTATCTAGAAACTATGTAATTCCGTTTGACGCATAGCGGAGTATTAATACAATTTTATTATAGTAAAAGTGATTTTACTATAGGTCTTTGAATACTATAGTATTCAAAGACCTTTCATCTAAAATTGTTGAGGAATTCTGTTAAAATTTCAACATTCATCGAAATAATATTAGGTATATACATCACATGTATTTTATAATTTTCTTTACATTATTATTTTATTCATGAATTTATCACAATTATTACTGTATCCAAAGCTTTGCGTCTATTATAAATAATAAATATTTGGTAATTATTATAAAGAACTAAGTAGAGTCTAACTTTATCAAGTCTTAATATCTCAAATAAAAACATATTCAGTTTATTCATAGATAAATAATGAATAAGCATATTTTTAAGTATGTTCTAAATTATAAATCAGCTGACATTATAATACACTTCCTGCTATAAAGATTTGGTTATTTCATAGAATTCCATGTACTGATTATTGATTACCTATTTGAAATATGCTTGATAACAAATGGAGAATTACAGATTATAAAAAAAAACCTCACTTCACACACTTCTAACCACCCGATAACCTATAACAATTGTATGAATATAAATTATTCTCAATTGAGAACTTAAGGTTAAATACTTGGAGATTATAATTGTATTATTGAAGACAAACATAGAGCCCTCATATAAACACAAAGAATTAAATAGAATTTACTTCATCGGTTGCGACCATAAAAGTGTACCTATAATATCAACATTTCATACACAAAA